GGCGTGCTAATATGGACCTGCAACTAATTGGAAACTCCTACGGAGCTGCTGAATACGCAGGAGCGTATGTAAGCAAAGCAGAGCCAGATACACTTCGATTTCAGGCGAGTGATTGCAAAAGCTATACAACGGAGTGACTCAAATCTTCCCTATCATTCGATTCTGAAGCGAGTAGCAAATGCGACTCTCGCGGTTCGCGAGGTTGGTGCACCGGAAGCTATATACATTCTCCTTCGCAATCTACCAATGCATAGTAAATCCCGCTCAATCACCAAAGTCAAGGTGATGCGTCACAGTACCCGTTACTATCGCGTTGAGCCGCAAACCTAGACGACCTTGTTGCCTTAGCAAGTACACCAGAGATCGAGACTATTCGAATTGAGCCTATCAAGAAAGCGTACATGAATCGCCCGGACAATGATCATTTTAACGCTATGACTTTAGCAACATTTCTAGAGACTTTCGAAACGATTGAGTCGATACGTAAAGTAGCATCCTCCGATGATCTGTACGAGTGTATGAACGGTGAAGGGTGGATCAAGAAACGCAAGAAAGCCACGGTCGTGCAAAAGACACCCTGGATACGACCCGATTCGTCGAACCCAACTTTCTGTTTCTCCGAAGTATTTTTGTATGTTCCATGGCGGGAGTTATAGGAGCTTCCCACAACCGATGATGAAGCAATAGCACGCTTTTTTCAAGCTCAAAATTCGCTGCTGGATGCAGAGTTGAAACACGAATCAAATGCCAAGTTAGCTCGGCAGTATCAATTAGATTTAATAAAATCCGCTCGTAGCGAATCAAGTATAACTGCCCTGCCTCCGTCTGAGTATGTGTTTGTATCGAATACTGATGGAGAAATGCTAGAACCAGAGCCGATGGGTGCGGTAGAAACCTCAGTAAACCAAAATAAACCGATGGAGTGGAAAGCCAAACACACCTACACGTCTGCCATCATTGATAAAGCTCGTGACTTTTTGAATGGATCACTAAAGCCATGGGTGAAGAAGAAAAAAGAATCTCGATCACTAGGAACCAGCTTTTGTCAAACTGGAAATTTGAAATCGCACTATCAATACCCTACTTCGGATAACAAAAATCTAGTTAATACCGAAAAAATGGCTGAATCGCAGTGGATTCCGTTTGCAATTGCAATGGAACAATCGAGAAGACGGTTTACATGTATGCTGGATAAATCTAAGTGTAAGCCTCTCCAAATGATTATAAACGGTGAAGGTGGCTCTGGGAAAAGCTGGCTAATTCGCCATATAGTGAAGGACATGCACAACGTATTTGGTGAACATAAAGCTACGAGACGGAAATCAAAACGGGAACTACTCCTAGCTCATCAAGGAACTGCTGCATTTAACATAAAAGGAATGACACTGTGCTCAGCTTTCTCATTTTCATCGTTTTCAAAGTCCTCATTCTCAATTCCCTACAAATCTCTAACGGACTCGAAAACGGGCCCAACAAAGCTGAAACGATTGCAGGAAGAATATAAAGACGTACATCTAGTTATTATTGATGAGTTTAGCATGATATCCTGCGGCATGTTATATTGGATTGATAAAAGAATGAGAGAAATATGGCCAAGCAACTCAAACGAGCTTTTTGGTGGAAGAGATGTGTACTTTACTGGAGATTCTGCTCAATTAGACCCCGTTGTCCCAACTTCACTATCAACACCCCTTCAAAAGATTTCAAACCAGGTTCAGCGACGTGGGAAAGAAATATGGGATAGTATTGAAACGGTGTGTATGCTAACTAGTCAAAATAGAGGAGCTTTAGATCCTGACTGGTTTAGCGCTCTTCGTCGTCTACGTAAAAAATCGCCAACCCAGGATGACATTGATTTCTTCAACTCCCGTTCAGTGCAATTTGTTGGAAAACCCAAGTGGATGGCTAATGCCAAACATATTGCATACAAAAATATAGATGTTAATGACGCCAACGATCACAGTATAGTATCAGCTCATGTACCGATTGTGCATTTAACTTCGCAGCATTTCGTTCAACAAAAACGTTTAACGACAAAACGAGACATACCTGCTGGAACCGCTCGCGCACTTCTAACAGACGCTCAAACAGCTAACGCTGATCATGACAGAGTGGTGCCTAACAGGTTAAAACTGTGTGTTGGTGCACCTATAACACTTACCTACAACATTGCCCAAGCTGCAGGTCTGTGCAATGGTACAAATGCGATCGTTTATGACTTCTTTTTTGTGTCGGGAAGCGATCTACCATCGTGCTCGTTCAAGTCACGGACCCGTATATCGGTCCTTCCCTACTAGATGAAGTACCAAATATCGTTCCAATACCACCAAAAGACGTTTCTTGGGGAAAGGCATCCAGTGATCTTCGCGTTGTTCGAAGGGGAATTCCGCTTCGATTGGCTTATGCTATGACAGTGCATAAGGTACAAGGGCTTACATGCTCGTGTGTGGTTTTTCACTCTAATGCAATTCCAAACATTTCGTTTGCATACGTAGCCCTTTCACGTATAACACATCGAAATTTAATAGTTATTACACAGCCGCTGACACTAGAACGACTCACAGCTACTCCCGAGCAATTAGCAATTTTCCGAAGTGAGGAGCAGCGTGGTTTAAAAGCTGTCCCCAAACGACGCTAGCTGCTTCGTCGGTGGTAGACAGAATGAAAGCGGTGGCGCAAGCCCACAACAGCACCATCACACCAAGATGATAGGAAGGTGAAAACTACGAAAAATGGCTTTCGAGGCGCCAAAACAGCTCGTAGCGCAACGCAATAGAAAAAGACAACTTTGTCGCCCCGAGAACTACAAGAGGTGAGAAAGCTTGTGATTCTGGACAGCAACGAGGCTTTTTAACATGCTTTGTTTTAGGGACTCCAATAAAGCAATTTAATATTGCTGCAGTAATGATGGCTGCGCATACCTGGGTGGAAGCAAGATTCTAGTGCTGTACTTCGAAGGACTTAAGTAAAACTAAGCTCTTCGGGTTGATCGTGACTGCTGGCAAACAAGGGCTACGACACGAACAGGACATGGAAATTGAGTGAAGATTCAAATAAGACTATGAAGTCGTTAGTCTAACTAAGTGGCGTCAATGTAACGTCACCAAACAAAAAAAGTTTAAACAATGTAACCAGTGCATCCACAAGCGTTCATTCGCACTGTATCAACTACTGGAGTCTGCGTATTAACGGGGCTATGACTCGTTGTATTTGCAGTATCGGCAAGAATACATAATATCGCTGGGCAATTAATGAAAATGTGATTTTCAACTCGAAATAGAGTTTTACTACATGTATGTAAGAGCTCTGCTTGGTTTGCTCTTTCCTGCAAAAAAAAATGTGCAAGTTTGCCTGTATGAAGTGCAAGTTTACGTCAATTTTAGATAAACCGTCTGTAGAACAATATTCACCTTGAATCAAAATAATTTTTATTCCTATGAATTATTGTGTTCGTAGTACTTTAAAAATCGTAAGAGCATATCACAGCACGCGAAGAACACGTAGTAAGCTCCCATGCCTCAAATACTGACCGTATTGCCAGCGTCAGTTTCACCACCCTGCTCTAATGCAACAAAGCCATTCCACAGTTAGTTGACGTAGCCGCTTACATGATGATCTTCAAAGAATAAGCGGCGAGTACGTACTTGTTGGAGCTGGTGGCGCAGACACAACATAGGCGCGCTGGGATGAGGTGACGTTATTCTGGACTTGAGATACCGGTAGCATTACATGCTGAACTTGAGAGACTGCAGTAGCACCACCTAAACTTCCTGGTGCAACCACCACAGAGGCCGGCATCATAGACTGTTGCTGAGCCGTGCATAACGGCAATGATGCCCCAATCTGTAGCGGAACTAGCATGTAGATCATTTGGGAAGACTGCACCAAAGGAGAATTGTGGCACAGGCAAGGCGAATGTTCACGATGCGTCGAAACCTCCCCGCCTAGGGCAGAACCTGCATTCTCGTCTTCACGGATTGATTGCCCTGATGATTTCTCCTTAACACCTTCGACAGCACGTGGTCGCTGAGCGTTGCTCACCGCAGGTACATCCAGCTCGACATGCTCCACAACTACGTTATCACGGCTTGTGCTTGAACAGGAATCTTCAATCGAAGCCGTAGATGCAGGAGTTGATCCCTTTTTTTTGGTGCTCAAAGACGTAGAACTCTGGATCTTCCGTTTTTTGATTGCCGTAGTTTTCTTCTTTGTTTCCTTCTTGCCATCCTTCTTAGTAGTTTTCCGGTAGCGATCACGCTGCATAGTATTCTGATGATCGCGATGTTCAGCGCAGAGCCAGTGGCGTTCTCCATTCCTCTTGAATGCCCTCTTGTTGCGACAATAACCAGGATACTTGCATTGGTTTGAACTGAGGTTTCTTTCTGGTTGTGAGCCCCTAGCGTGGACCTTGTTCGGCATTTGGCACAGCTAATATCTTGACAGCATAACATAGCGTGAGTGCTGTCGTATCAGGACGTTCACCGCACCAGCAGTACACACTTACCTCCTCTGTAGCGACGCAACTGGTAGCAACAAGGGCCTGTCAACTGTAGCTTTTCAAAATGAAAAAAATTGTTGTTGTGCTCCAACCTATGTATTTGCATATGATGCTTGGGGGGGCGGTGCCCAAAAGTTTTTTTATAATAAATTTTTCGGTATTGGCCCCTTAGCAACCGTGGCGACCAATCGCCGTGAGGATGCTGCCATACTAGTAATATTTGAACATTCTCCAGGAAAACGATTTCTGTGCCAAGGCTTTTCTGGTTTAGATCCTATTTAAAGCAGGTCCTTAGAGAAACTATAAAAATCCTCCAGTGAAACGACATAGAATCAGCGCAGGCTCATTGGATCGAAGTAAGCGCTTTTAACAGAAAGATGCTTTTTAAATACAAGAGCCCATTGGTAAGAAAAGTAGTAAGAGTTCCAGATTCCCGTGTACTACTTTAGGTAGGGTATTAGGAATTGGGAGTTTATGCCTTGCGTTTTTATTCACCAAGACGTCAGTGGATTCGCTTTGAGTTTAGCCACGCGAGCTTAAACGAGAAATCGGCACCTTTCACACGCAAGCGTTTGTTAATCTCGATTCAGTTCTTACAAGCTCTCAAGACACTCACCGTTGTGATCCAACGACACTTGCATGATGTAGACGAATACCAAGTTCAGCTTCGTCTGAACGATACCGGCATACACATCCAGAACGAAAGCTAGCTGCTGCAAGCTGGAATACCCGAGCTTGCGCTTTAGCACAACGATCAGCATAACAAATGAGCCGAGCTCGAAGCAGCTGTAGAGCAGTGTGCTAAGCATTTTGGACGTGAACTCTTCTCTCGATAATCCAGCTAATGCCGGGTAATGGGCACTGTTGGGCATGTGGAATAGTATGAACTGATGCAGACCTGTGTAAGACTTCGCATTAGTATCGATATGTCCAATAGCGTTTGTAAACGCTAGACATCTTACAGTATATGAATGGCAATACCACTTCGACGTACTCCACCAGGACGAAATACTCTATGATGAAGAGGAGATGAGCGCTTCTTTGGACAAAACGAGCCCGTTCCTTCCGACTGAATATCAGTTCAAGTCTGTCATACTTAGCCTGTGGGTCTTCCGCTGCCACAGTTATAATGGGAGCCAGATGATGCTTGGTCTGATGCCTGGCAGGTGCGATAACAGGGAGAACTCGTGTCTTCTTAAGTATTATAAATCTCTGCTTGCGGCTTCCATCTTGGCAGGTTGCTCTGCACGATTCCCGCGTGGTTTTATTGCTGTCGTTTTTACTGTTCGCGACGTCTGTGGACGATTTCCTGTCGCCAGCCATCGCTGGATCAATGCAGTGTTGATGTTGATCAATATTCAATAGACGGACAGCTATTTGGACAAAGTTTTCCTTTGCACTCGGGTGTTCTGGCGGGATCTTGTGCATTAGCAAGTTCACTTCGTCAAGACGTTTGACGATGTCAATCATTGAGACCCAAAACTGGAGGAGGTCTACTGCTATGATCGTTGCTGTGGATGTCCAAGAAGAAGCGGTCTGGAGAACATTCGATACGTAAAGAGCGTTGTAAACTTCAACGACGAAGACGACAGACTGAGGTTTTTGGTCATCATCGGCAAGTGCACGGCTGATCCAATTCTTGGCGATAATCTGGATAATCGGTAAGACGGCGACGAAAACTACTTGATGCATGCCGGTAAGCGATACAAAACCCAATATGTACAAAGGATACACAAAGGGAAGCATCGTTTGGCAGTTGTAAATGACGAGCTGTCTCTTAACATCCACCAAGATCGAAGGATCACTTCTCCATTGGGGTCCAGAGATGTATGTGAAGCAAATAGCAATCACGATAACGAAAGGTGGACCTGCGATAAGTAAGCCAAACGGGAGCGGAAAGACGGTCAGAACGCAGAGACCGAATACGGAAGCTGTAGCTGCCAGTATTGAAACCCTAGTTATCTGGAGCCTCGTCAACTGAAGACGAGGCGCTCCGTGGCCCATCTGGACTAGCGTTGAAGCACCCATAAAGCAGAGTATAACCCATGATCGGGCAATGTAAACTCCATTTTTGTAAACTCCGGCTTCAGCTGGAGAGAGTGGTGGTATCTGTTTTAACAAGCTCAACACAAGGCACGGCAGTGGAGTCAGCACACAAGCCAGTAGAATTCGTCGATTTTTGAGGCCGCTCATGTAGAATCCAAGCTGTCGAATCCGCTCAATCGAATAGCTGCCTTGGTTCTCCACTTGAAGCGAAATCCATGCCTCCCAGAGACGCTGTCGAGCATTTTGATGACTCCCTACCATTCTAAAGGGTTTGTACGAGGTACTTCACGACTACGATCCATATATAGCCTCTGTGTAAACTGGTCTCTTTTTTTAGCTTCATATTTTTAAACATTAACCCCTCCTATTTTACGTCGTAAGCACCGACTTTATTTTAGTATATTTATTTGTATGGATGTGTCTTATCCACACTGGATTCCCGCTATAAACTGTCAGAAGATATTCTGAGCTACGTCGTATCACGAAAAGCCATAAGTTACGAATTTCAAGTAATTTTTTTTGTCGAAGCAGATGACTATTTACACATCCGTAGAGGTCCTGGTACAACAGAGAAAGAACTATATTTACATAAGCTAAGTGCTGTCCAGACGCATTCAAACGATTGCCGATTAATGAGCTGGCTGATCCTCTTCATTATCGGCCTCACCGTCTTGCTGACAGAGTAGCTTACGCCGAGTTGGTTTTCGGGTGCCAGCCTTTGCTGATCGTCGCAAGACGACTCGCTTGCCGAGCGATGCTGGGATGGAAGCCCCCACTATCAAGATCTTCGTACCAAATCTGATAGCATGTTTTGCGCACGCCTCCGTAGCTATGGCGCGACTTGGGGCAGAGGAAGCACTTTGCATCTGCGTGTGAGCAATCCTCACAATAAAAATAGGTTGTTTGAAAGGATTTTTTCGATCCCCTCGTAGAAGAGCGCATACTTCGCAAGAGCGTTGCCGGGGCTTTTGGATGCCTGAAACGGTGGCCCAATCGTTGAACTAGATGTGCTAGTGCCCGTCTACTCGGCGGCGCTTGCGAGAGCAAGCCATAGGAGAAGGTGTAGGGGAAGTAGCTTCGATGAAGTCGTCGGCTTGAGTTGCATCAATTGCTTATGAAGTAGAATATACCATTCTCCACGATCTTTTGGTACCAGCCTCTTGATCCGGCATGTTTCCTTGTGTGTGAGACACGCATTGATGACTGACATGTCCATGAAACCCATGAACAGTGACTTGTAATACTTTCTGAAACGGAAAGCCGTTTGGGTTGAATAGGGCTGCAGGTGGATTTGATCATGTACATCATCTCCGCCCATCCAACTTGGGTAATCAGTAACCAACTTTGGGCATTTGACGCAAGACGGCCCTATCATCTTGAAGTTGCGACGAATAGAGTCCTCTGCCATGACTGGACCCGTGGCCAGGCAGTGGACCGGCTTTTGGTCCCACCAGTGGCCAGCTATCATAGTCGGAATCGCGGCGGAGCGAGATAACGCAAAAGTATCACGATCAATCGCTCGAGGACGTGTTTTAAGTTTTTTTAATAACTTGCTTGCCGAGCCCCAGTCTGTTGACCATGATCGCTTCCACCCCATAGATATTCATCGATAGAAACTGAATAGCCAGTGGAATAGAGTAAAATCGGTCGATTACTATCTATCGAAGCCCTTGTGATCGGTCTCCCAGAACGGCATTCATGTTTCGAATCACTGCAGCAGTCCCCGTCTTTTCGTCGACTGCTTGCTGATCACCATACTCGGTCTCACGCTTTCCGACGTACACCTCGAATCTAAAGTAGTAAGTTTCGACGTAATAAAATATTCTTATTATTATAATTCAACCCGAAAGTTACGACATAATTATTAAACCAAACAAACTTATCGGTGGCAGTATGCACTCACAGAATTACAAGCCATAACCAACTTAGTTCCGTATCGGTGGGGCTTGTCGGTCATAAACATCCGCGTGGTGTTGCGCTAGGGCGTGGCTGGTAGTACGCCTTCGTCAAACGAGAGCTTACTGCCGAGTGACCAAGCAGCTCGAAACCGAGTTTGCAACGTGGCGACAACAGGCCGTAGCTTCGACAATTTGTCTCGAATCCATGGGGCTTTGTTGCTCACGACATTGGAAGTCTCGAGAAATTGACGTGCAGCGATTTCGAGCCGTGAACTTGCCAACGTTGCCGGCAGGTATTGCACCGTCCTCGGTGCCGCGATAAGCTACGCGTCATTGGGTTCAGCATTCTTGCCACTAAGAGCCCAATGACGTTGCGTATCTCATGGGTTTCGTACGCAGCCTCCACGCGCAATCGCCTTTCGATCTGCTTAACCGCCTCGGGGGCTGGTACAGTGCGTTTCCTTTGCTTCTGTCGAATTCGCTTAGCTCTGGCGTGTACCGTCTGCTTCTTGTAGCGATTTGTCTCCTTGGTGATGGTAGCCCACAATAATTTTGGTAGGAAGTAAAATAGAAGCAGCAAGGGAGAATCAGCAATGTCCTGTAGCTCGCTGATCGGTACGGCGACGTCCGTAGACAGTCGAAGGTACCCTCCACTGTCGGCTTCGATGATGGATAAAGGAGGACTTCACTCAAAGCTACGGAGCGCGGCCTTGTCGATCGACTCCAAAGTTAATTTGCCACCTAACGCCTCGACAAATGCGTCGTCAGAGCAACGCCTTCATCGGCCTTAAGTGTGTCGTCGGGGTACTCACGCCTCACGATGACAACGTCGCCACTATTGTCGCTCCTGTCGCTGCCATTAGAATCGACGGCTTCGTACTCATCCGAAAGATGTGTGCCACACGGCAGTCAACCTTCACAGTCCCATCTCCACACACGCTTGCACCTTCCCTCTCCAGACTGGCGCCACCATCATCGTTGTCGTCCGAATTGCTCGACTCGGCGCCTGACACGAGACGCTGGAACGCCCCCACGACCATCTCGCGATCCGACTGCTCCAACGGATCCTCCGCTTCCGACTGGGGGTCACTGTAACGTCCACCGGCACGATCTCATCACTACCCACCTCCCTCTCACTGTCACCACTCTCTTCAGCAATAATCCCAGACTCGATGGCATAAGCCACCACAGCATCCTCCCCTAGACAAGTAATATAAATTCGACAAATAAACCACATAACCATATACGAACTTCGCACCAGTGAGCGACCTCCCGTCCGGCGACGTGTAGGTCCACTCCTTCGCAAGTCCACCGGAAGGTCTCTTCGACGTCCATCCCACTGCGCGTAGCTGCCGCCAGAGATGCTTGAAGTCGATGGCGCGCACGTCCATCGTGCTGGCAACTGCTGATTCATTGTCCGCGTACTTGATCGAACTCTCGCCATGGTGGTAAGTTCTTGAATGAGACATCAGTGGCTCGAGTCGGCGCCCTCGACCACTCATCATTCTGTTCGGTGCAGCACATCTACCCTTCCCCCAACCTTTCTTTTACATTTGCCGAATCGACCTCTTTCAGCTTATATTATTTGCCACCAAACTTTGACTTGGTTAAAGTATCGTATCCTCTTTTTTCGAGCCATTTTCTGTTTGAAGGTTCGAATTACGTCGTAAGTTACGACTGTCGCCCTACTTAAAGTCGTAGCTTACGACGTTCGTAACAGAGGGGTTAACCCCAAAGTCGGTTCCTGGTAGCAATATCATTGTATAACACGTTTGGTTGAATCGGAAAACACCCACCAGTACTCACCAAGATGGTCTATCGGCATCTGCATCACATACACGAAAAGCGTCATCAACTTGGATTGCACCATCGAAGCCTGAGTTTCAAGAACGAATGCCAGTTAAACGACACGGACACTGACACTTACGACTTTGTAAGAGTGAACATAAAACAATTGCGGGAAAACGCAAGCGAATGCACACATAGAGCGGGGCTTTTCGATGACTGACATGCTAAAAGAGGAACAGACACAGAGCATATGGTAAAGGACGTCACATTTATGAAGCAATGAGCACACTCATCATCTGGGGGAAACTAAGGAGGGCTCTCCAGCTGGCAGGGCCCCCACATAAAAATAAACAAAATTCGGAATAAAAATATACTTTTCGTCGACAGCGGCAAAAAATAGATTTGCCGTTGCCGACGAAAACAACTAATATTAAAATTATTCGTCGCAACGGAAATCCATTTTTTTGGCAGTTACCGACAGAAATCAAGAAAAATGCAACAACTACTTATAAACAAACAACAGTATCATCTTTTTCATCGTCTGGCGCTCCTTCGCATTCACGGCTCAGCCTCCTCGTCAGCGCCCTCATTGTCTTCGTGGAGAATTTCACGACGAGTCTTCAAGCGGACGCCGACACTTTTGGGAGCGCGGCGCAGCACGACTCGCTTGCCAAGGTGTGCTGGGATCTCGTCTCCGCACGCAAAGCCTTCGTACCACACTTGAAAGCACGTCCTGTCGCCACCTCTGCGCGCCTTACTACACAGGTAAAGCTTGGTATCGGCTTTGAAACCGTCTGGACAGTAGTATGCCGTCTGGAACGACTTCTTCAGCTCGCCAGGATAAACCGATCAGACCTTGCACGCCCGCTGGTGTCTCTTTTGGACGCCGCCTTTCACAGTCACCCAGTCGTCAAACTGAACGAGTGTGTGACCAGAAGATGGGCGCCGTCGCTTGCGTGCTAATGGTGACGGAGTGGGGGCATTCTGAAAGGCTTCGTCCTTGAGCTGTAAGAGTTGCTTGTGGAGCATGGTCAACCACTCGTAGCGTTTTACAGGGGCCTCGCCAGCGAGGCGGCTCGCCTTCTTGTGCGTGAGGTACGCTTTGACGAGCACAAGATCGAGCAGACCGAGAAAAATACTCTTATAATACTTCCGAAATCTAAAGAAGAGCTGGATGGAGGAGAACTGGAGACGGAGCTGGTCATGCACGTCAACCCCACCCATCCAGCACTGATAGTCCGTCACCAGTCTTGGTCACTTGAACGTAGACTTTCCCAGCCCTTTCAGGCTCCGCAAGGTAGCTCTCTGGCTTGCGGTCCCACCAGAGGCACGCGACCATGGTAGGCACCACTTCCAATCTTGGGAACTTGAACGATCCGCGCTCAATCCCCCGGGGTCGCGTATTGCGGCTCGCTACGACTTCACGGTCGAAGCCCAGTCGATTTATCACGATCGTTTCGATCACATACACAGACATGGAGAGAAGCGGCAGGGCTAGAGCGACGGACGAATTGAAGCGGTCAATGACCACAACGCGAAGCCCTCGGTCACGACCGGCAAGAACTATATTCAGGCTCCGAATGACCGCTGCAGCACCTGTCTTGTGATCAAATAACTGCTCATCCGACTCCTCGGCTTGGCGTTTGCCGACGTAGATCTCAAATCTGAAAGATACGACATTCAGAGCACGCTCAAAACTGTTAAAACCGTAATTTACGACTTAAAATTTCAACCAAAATCAAAACGCATCTGTGGTAGTATGCAGTTGCAGAATCACAAGTCATAAACATCTTGGTTCCGTAGCGATGCGGCTTATCTGGCATATTCATTCTAGTCGTGTTGCGTCTGGACATAGCTGGTATACGTCTTCGGCGAACGAGATAAAATTTGGTGGCATCCATGCACTCAAAAAATCATCCTGCAGTACATCATAAACATCTCGAATCCTCCACAGCTGGTCTTGGCGATTTGAGTTTTCATTGTTCGCAAAGTGGATATCGCGGAGGACCGAAGTGCAGCAATTCCGACTCATGAACTTGTCAAAATCCCCTGCCATGAGAGCGCCATCGTCACTCATTGCCCCGTGTTGGGAAAAACGTCGCGTGGGGCTCAACATGTGAGCAACAAGAAGTCCAACCACGCACAGTATCTCGCGCAACGTGTACCGGTCGTCCCTACGAATCCGTCGCCAAAGTTCTCGTAGCGTTTGCATGTTCTCCGTTCTGGGAGCCCTGGATCGCTCAAACCGCGTTCGTTGGTCCACAGTCTGCCTCTTGACGCGGTTTGTCTCAGTTGTGATCCGCTTCCATAGACTCTTCGGTACGAAATAAAACATTAAGTCAAGAGGTGAGCCCTTCTTACCTCGTAGTACTGGGATCGGATGGGTGGTCTCCTGTACCAAACCGCGAAAAGTCGACGTTTCCTCCTCCAAAACCGACGACGTTGCACCCCGTTTTAGGCTCCGAGGCGCATTCTTGTCCATTTGATTGAGGAGCAAGGTGCCACCCAGTGACTCGATAAAGGCTGCATCCATGATTGGTGATCCCTCATCATCAGAAGACCCGTCGTCATCTTGTTGAGGACGAACAGTCTCCACGTAGTCGTCGTCCGAAAACTGGCCGTAGTCGGAGTCCGAACTCAAGCACTCGTACTCTTTTTGGCGGTCCCCAGGCTTCATCAAGTTTAATCAGATGGATCTCGCGGCACGAGTGGATCATCGCATTCTCGATCGTCCTTTGGCTCCTCCACCGACTCATCTCCAGAATCTGGGTCCGGCTCCGTCTCATGTAGATGCGTTGGAAGGCTCCGATCACGACACTCTGCTCCGTGACGACTATTATGTCTGACGTATCTGGTTGGGAAATTTCGACAGCTCTAGCAACCGCGTTTTGGGACAAATCATGTGACTCACCGTCCTCGCTATCGCTCCCAAACAGCGCATCGACTGTGTTGGCCGAAGAGCGCCAAGCTGCAGTCAATTTGAGACGCTCCTACCAATTCACTTTCACATCCATCGGCACCAGTGCCACTTACGCGGCCACTGTCCTCTTCATAGTATCCTGCATTCACATCAGCTTCATCCTCACTTTCCTCGCAGCTACCGTATTTCTCGTCATCCTGGATCAGTCCTGTTTCAATCGCGCGGTCCACGACAGCTATTTCCCTTACCACATAATATTAGTTGCAGCACATATTCACACAGCAACTGCGAAACGTACCATAGAAAACGCTCTCGCCTTCTTCGGAAGCGCCGCTTGATGGTTTAGAGTATGTCCACATGGTAGACAGACCTGTGGGGCGCTTTGATGTCCATCCTGCGGTCTTGAGCTGGCGCCACAAGTAGCCGAAGTCCACAAGACGCGCACCCAGCGAGGGTGCCGACGCTTCCGGAGAAGGTTTTATTCTTCGACTGGCTCGGACGGGCATCTCACTTGTGGCTGACGCAGTAAAATCTTGAAGGGCTGAAAATTCTCCCTCTTCTCTTCTAGGGACGAATCATTTGCTGACAGTTGGAAAGACGCAATATATCCCTTCCCCTGGGACAGTCTTTGTGTGCACAGCAAAAACCGCTTCCGTCTTATATCCTTTCGCACCAAAAACAAACTTGATTTTAGTATTGGGTCGCGGTTTTTAAGCCACCTCCTGTTTGAGAAAACAATTAAGCCGAAAGTTATGACTTAAAAATTGGACTACGTCGTAACTTACGACTTCGGTAACAGGCGAATTAACATGAAGTCTGGGTCTAGTGGGCCTGTAGAAACAAATAAACCAATTTATGTCATACATCTTCATCTTTATGAAGTTGAAGAATATATTTCCCAACATGCCAGGCACCTGTACTGCACTTTCTCGTGAGCAAATGGATACTTTAATAAAGTCAAGGAGGCTACTAAAATGGCCAGACCACTAACTTGTGAAATCGGAAAAAAATGCTATATAAAAACGTTTCACCTGCTGCAATTGATTTGTTAAAAATCACAAAAATCAGCCTGTTACTCCTCATTTCAACGCTAGCTCATAGGTGTCAATTCGACTATTAGATGCCGAGTTATCGGAGATTTAGTGAAAGCACTCAATCGAGGCTACTAAAGTGACACTTTGCCTTAATAGAGATCACCCTAAGTAGTTATGCCTTAACTGGCTTCTAGAGCACCTGGAGCAGTGTCTCGGGTGTCCACAAGAGTGACCGGTCATTCTTTAAGTAACTTGGGGCTCACTGGATTGTACCCCATTACACAATGGCTGGCGACATGGGATCACTTAACTAGCTCTACAGTTTTTGCGGGCATGTATTTCTTATTATTACAATTTGCGTTTGTTTTACCCGTCCAATCCTAAGATTTTAGCTAGTGCTCTACACTGGCGAACGCTAAGCAAACCTTGCAAAGCCAGTGGCGTCGCTTAGCGCCACTAATCGCCATCGTCAGCTCAGGAGTGTGTTCTTGGTGTGGTAGGGGATCTGTGATCAGGTCTGCCATGTCCTCGCCGGCATTGAAGTCCTCGCTGGTTCGAGTAAGATAATCTATATGAAAGTGCCACAAGAAACCGGCATGAGTTTGCTCTGTCTTGTTTTGTTTCTTCATTGCTAGCTTGTGCGTAATAAATGCATTCAACAAAGCGAGATCCACCAACCCAAGAAAAATGTTTATTTTTTACTTCAGCGCATGAAGCCAATCACCTCCACTAACGTTCAGGTCGAGGTCATCCGTCGTTTTGAAAAAGCGGTCGCGTCTGTCCAAGAAGTTCTCCCAGTCGACATCATCAAGTGGGACACCACCCAGTCGTGTATGACAGCGCGTGTAATCGCGTGTGAGCTCTGAAGAGGTGTTCTCCGCATCTGAATCATACTGTTCAGTAGAATTCGGAGCGCTCTCAGCCATCTTATGAATATCCTTTTCAAGGAATAGGTGGGACATCAGTAGTCGTGTCAACAATTGAGTGGTCTGAAAAATACGTAACCAATATAAGTGCTAGCCCAGTATGAAAAGCAAGTGAGATCATAAGGCATGATGTACCACTTCAACGACGTTTCCCCTGACTTGGCAGGAGCAGCATTTTTTTCGCTTGCCCCTACATTCGCGCTGTCGCTATCGTTCCAGCGACAAATACGTTTTGAAGGTCGTGGGGCTTGACGAGCACGGGTCTTGGCAAAGGATACCTTCGGGATCGCCGGTGAGGTGTCTTTAGATGCGCTAGATTCCTTTGCAGCAGATTTGTGAATAGCTGCTGGGTTAGGCATCTGCTCTTCCACTCCTTCATTGTATGGGGGCGTTTGAGCGATCTCCGAAGACGGCGCTTTGACATCGGCAGGCGATCCAGTAGCTTCGTGCGATGTTGCCAAGAATTCAGACCGGAACGGTGTGACTTGAGCTGTCGCTTCGGTCGTAGGCACGCTGAATGAAAGCCATTCTCGACGATGGCAGCTCGCCTGATAACACAATTTATTCGATAGATACATAATAAAAGGTAAAACAGCGCACCAATGAAGAGGTGCACAACTTTCGCTCCGTTGACGCTGCCTCCCGGAGGCAGGTAGTGCTGGTCATTGCTGAGGTCTGTCGACTTCTTGAAGGTCCATCCCTTTCTTTTGAGCTCGCGCCAAATTTGCTGGAGCGACGTCTCGTTTGTAAACACCAGGAATGATGACCTCTTCTTGGGGCGCGAGCTTCGGAATGAACCGCTGGCAGAGAGCGCTGCCCTATGAGGATTCTTATATCTGCAACCCTAACCGCTTCCTGTACATTACATGACACATGAGACGTGGGCCGTACTGGTGACACTTCTAAATTTATCCAATACAAAGAGGTCTGGTCGAAGCCAAGTCTGTTGCGGACACCTCGGATCGCTTTCACCTCTATAAATAAGATTCCGGAGGATTCGTTCTACGCGGGTAGAGGGCTAACAGCTGCGAGCATGTAGGTAACCTCCTGTTAGAATATCTGATCCTTTTGTCTCCTAACCGGATAGGAACCTCGTTTTCTTCTATGCCCTTTTCAGCGATTCTCTAACCGTGTGAAGTATAACCTAAATTTATAAAGAATTTTGATGAATAATCAGCGGACGGGTAGATAGGTAGCGCTAACAATTTATTATTTTAAGAGCGAAACACCTAAACATGTTTGCAAGCCCAACTAACAGTTTGTGTGTAGTAGAAGTCACAAACATGTCTGCGGAGTACACGATTTGGTATTAGTAGATGTAGAATACTAAATATTGCAGGTAAACAGGTCAGTCGATTCGACTCAATTCAATCGATTCAAGTCGATATGTTGTGCTTATCTGGATTCGAATAAATTACGATACACAGGATCTTGCTGACTTCCCTAGCGCCGGTCGCTGCAAATGACCACAAGGATCGCAACAATGACGGAGAGGTCCAAGCATAAGGCACATAATCAATCGCAAACGCTAGCGCTGAGACCTCGTAAACGTTCAGATCATTGAAGCTTCATTAAGGAATTCGCGAGCGGTGCGTATGTATGCCAATGCTGTGCTCGGAGCGGCAAAACCCATGTGTAGAATACCAAAGATAATACAACAATGACAATGCATCTCGGGAAGTATCATACCATTGAGTATCTCGGCGATGTAGTATCTACAACTCGACAAGCGGATTGCTATATCATGGGCTCAGTCGGAGCGTAAAACAGCGCATCCACGGCGGGTTTATTAAAGCCGACGCTGATAGTGCTCCTGTTGAGTGGATCGTGGAAACCTCACAGCCATTTTCTGTCTTAGAGCAGCCGAAGTTCATTTTCAGTGAATTGCTGGAGCCCTCCAACAAAGTCCCGTGTAGTCATCGCCACGTTATTATCAAGTGAAAGTAGGAAATGTATTTGGCGCTTAAAACAATGGTACTAAAGATAACGCTGTGTCGAACCAGTATTACGACCGATATGTGGACGTATGTGGCCAATTGGGCTTATCCGGGTGGCTACTCTTCATTGTATCAATTGTGGGTGGCGCTTGCGATCCGTTACCATAGGCTTCAAAAGGGCGCAATACTCCTAAACGGGTCTAGGCCTTGTTAATCATCTTCGAAAGGTGATAATGTCAACGGATAGCGCTCTGCTGTCCTCCATATGGGCTATCACAACCGACAATGCTATCAACAACACGTCTATGGTAAATCACATGAATGGTGAGCCGCCAAGGCAGAGCGCACTGGGCTTGACAACTCACTCTTGAGCTTGCCTCGAGCTCGCCAAGCAATCCTCAAGTCCTTGTAAGGCTGCGACTTGCACACCGGTGTCCAGTAGTATTTCGCTTGGTGCAGCGAGCAGTATTGTAACAGGGTCGAGGCGTGATGGTTTTCTCTGCTGACAAGTCCACTGACAACGCCTCGTCTCAAGGCCTGCTACGGGACAGTCTCCTTCGCAGCTCCACACGCCACCCTCTGTGATACTCATAGTTATCTGCTGCCGTAGAGATCTTTCAGCTTGGTTTGAAGCGTGTCCGGCGTATAACCATATGCTTTCAAATGTGTGTATCTCTTGAGCTCACTGTCTCCGCTCAGCATCTCGTCAAGCTTTCACACGGAAAAGCGGTTAGCACCATTAGCCCTCTCTTCCTCGTCATCCTTGTCGATATTGGAGATGACATCGTCGTCATCTTGATTGTCCAGCACTTTGCGACCCCGAAAGAACCTCTTCCCTCCCCCGCGTGGTTCCTAAGCTCGCGTGAGGGAACCGGCCTTTGCCATTGACTCTATCTTCTTTAGGTCCTTCAGCAAAGCTCGCAGACGGCAGTTTTGCGCAGGTGAGGACACCAAGTCTACAAGTTCATCATAGATGAACTCAAGGAGGTCGAAGTAGCGCTTGCGCATGGCGAAGGTAGACCCCCACCTCGTGTCTTGGCGGATGACCGGTCGCAATTGAGTTTTTACTCTAACAAAATAAAAAAAATGCTACTGAAATATTTGAAGTGATGTACACAAATTACAAAAAAATACAGTACTGTAGTTTGGCTTATAGCGTCAGAGTACGAAGCTTCAGTAAGATCTTCTGCACTGCGTCCAGCTCTTCTTCGTAGTCTGCCAGTTCGAGGTGAGCTGCTCGGCTGAGTCGATGGCTGGCGCAACTAACGAGCGGCATGCCCATTAGCGTCGCCAGCCGGCGATTGACAGAACAGTTGTATGCAACGAGGAAGCAGCACATCCCCAGCTGCTTTCCGTAATCACGGGGTAGCATGGTCGCAAGGAATTCCACGTGACCTCTAGCTGACAGATCTTCTTCCTCGTCATTCAGTAGGGGGCCATGCATAGTAGCGGCGTCATCGCGACCCCGTCGACTTGGTAGTGTGCATAGACCAATGTAGTATTCCAATGCATGCGTTCAACCGTCAAAGATGAGTCCGAAACAATCGGGAATTTCAGCAGCGATGACTCGATCGACGGACCGCATCATGCTGCCCATTCCTGAGACGAGGGTCTTAACACATATGAAATCCAGATTTGAATATCTACTATCACGCATAGTACTGATTTTGGTGTCGGTAAACGAACACCCTTTAACTTAAATCCCTTCTTCATGCGAGCTGGACGGGCCAGGCACTGAACTTGGAATACCGGGCGGGGGTCTCGAACCAGCTCGGTATTATGGGATCGTACGACCACTGCGGAGGATGGTAGTTGGGGCTGTAGGTGTTGCTGAATTCATTCGAGTGCCACCGCCGCTACTCTCAACTTACGCAGGTAATATTAGGTCGTTACCTAACTGCTGTTACAGCTATGCTAACGGACGAGCAGTGGCATCGTCTCGGCAACGGCAGCGTCCGTTGCAATACCAACTCACACAGCAACGGTAGCATCCGATGCTTTCACTGTAGCTCTGCTGCAGTATGAGATGGCGTGGCGTCTTGTCCAGGCTTAACCGGCAGCGTTACTGGCAGCAAGACGCGGTGTCTTGCTTAGGCTGAGCTTGGCGGCGTTACTGGCGACAGTCCACGCGGTGTCCCATCCGGGCTTCGCTGACCACGTTACAGGCATGGGACACACAAGAGTCTGCAGTGATGACGGCGCGTCGAACCCCATGCCTTGGTTGCACCCAGGCGAGAGCACGGTGCAGCGCACCTGCTTCTTCTCGTACGCAGTACGGTTTGACGACGGCGCGTCGGATATCAGGCCTTGAGCACAAGCAGTCAGGACGCAGGAACGATGTGGAGCGCAGCTCGCCCCCTGCTCCAAATACGAAAAAAGATCACGGTCACCAAGAGAATAGTGCTGCGTACTTGCAGCTCACATACGGCAGTATGTCACACTCCACCTCGCACACGATGCGCATCGAGACACAGGCGCGCCGAGCTACAGTCTGGCGTGGCAGCGCAGTCTCATAAGTGTCAATGGCGGAGTTGTTCGTCGGATTGGACTTCTTTGGGTTACGGTAGCCTGACGCAGGCTGGGACAGTAAGTGGTAGTACTCCATTAGTCAGCGCAGCTGATTTAATGTAGCTAGCCATCGTACCGATGATCTTGTAATTCACGATCATGCGTCCGTAATGGATTCGTCACCGTGCTTGTATTTCTTAGTTGTGCGCGTATGCAGAGCATCTGCAGTCGCTGCAGCAGTTCCTTCAATTGGCAACACCTTGAGCTGTGACCGAAACTGACTAAACTTTGCTCGTGCAAGAGGTTTCGGCATGATATCCGCGGTGTTGTCATCTGTTGCCACGTGCAACATGGTCAACTTGCCGTCTTCCACTAGATGCCGAATCAGGTGAAATTTGCTGTTGATGTGTTTCGTGCTCGCGTGCTTGCCGAGCTTCTCCGTCAAGTACAGCGCAGCTTGATTGTCACCGCGCAGTAGTGGCGTGGCCGCAGGCCACGTCAGCTCTTCACACATTCCAGTAACTCACAGCATATCCTTCACGCCCTCATTCATTGCCACCCTCACACCTTCCGTACTGGATTGGGCGTTAATTCCCTACTTGCGGGACGCATACGAGATCACGTTACCATCCAAAACCTGATGTAGTTCGATATAGACTTCGCATCGTCAGGGTCGTTCGCGTAGTCGGAGTCGGTGAACACCGAGATAGCCATGTCCTTCCCCGGGATGACTTCCAAGTGCAGCGCATAGGCCCTAGTTTGAAGCAGGTAGCGCAGTACTCGCTCCGCTTCTCTGTAGTGGGTCTCCGTATATTAGGAAAGGTATTTACAAGGTGGCGCACCACATGTGCTCTATCTGGCCGCGAGTCAGACACTATATATTGTAGACCACCAACCAACCCACGATAGGGCATGGCAGCGTCCTTGCTCGTAGCTTGAGGCGTCCAGCGGCCGTACGAGTTCGCAAGGTTGAATTTCTTCAGCAGCTTGTCAATGTGCGATCGTTGACTGTACACAATGCGATTGTGCACACCATCCAGCGTAATCTCAATGCCAAGTAGGTATCCGACCTCACCCATACTTGTCAGTGTAAGCTTCGACTCGTGCTGTACAGCGACTTGAGAGCGCAGCGCAGCTGGGCCCATCAAAAGTAGGTCGTCAACGTAGACTGTTAGTAGCATAGCGACGTCGCCATCCTTGTACATCACGTAAAGTCCATAGTCTCTGTCGAGTCTTGTGAGTCCTAAGGCTTAGAGGAACTCATGTATCGTCTTGTTCCACACTGCCAGGGCCTGTTTCAGCTCGTACAATGACTTGATCAGCTGGCCAATCAGTGCCACCTGATGCTTCTTCTTCAGATCCCGCTGGAATCGCCATGAAAATCAGCTCTTCAAGTAACCCATAAAGAAACGCTGTCTTGACGTCGTACTGCCTGATGTTCCATCTGCGTTTTTGAGCGTACAGAATAGCGGCTCGTATAGTCTCGAAGCGAATGATAGGAGCGTATGTCTCAAGCTAATCGATTACAAAGTGTTGCTTAAAGCCGTGAATCACTAATATCGCCTTGAATCTCTATTTTCGTCCTTCGTCGCCTCGTTTCAGCGTGTAAACCTACTTATTGGTGATCACAGTCGGATGCTTTGCTTTGGTTCGCGCAACGAGCTTCCACGTTCCGTGCTGACGTAGCGACGTCAACTCTTCCTGCATGGCAGCTTGCCACTCAGACCAGTACTGGCTCTTCTTTGCTTGCTTGTACGTGTTCGAAACTGAATTGTCTTCCTTCGTATTGATGACTGATCCCACAATGTACTCCCTCCGATGTGCTGGCGGCTTCCTCACGCGACGAGAGGCCGGGTCACGGCGCTGAATGACCTCAGGCACCACCTTCGGAGGCTCGTAGTCGTCACCGGACGTCTCTGCATCCGACCGCAGTCGACGCTTGCACTTGTCCTTGGACTTGACAGCGCAGCTTGGCTTCACATGCTCTGTTGACACGGACGACGGCTGTACGTCCTTGTCTGGCTCTCCCACTTGCTCATCACTGGCTACTAGATCAGGCTCACTGCTCACTAGTACAGGCTGGGTCAAGACGTTCGATTTTGGTGGATCACCGGCTTCGGGAAAGAGCCGATTGGTAAGTGAGCTAACAATGGGCAAGACTGGTATCTCGACAGGTAATTTCACATTGCCATGCTTATAAATATTCAATAGGAGCTGACGAACGTAGGCTTAAGAGGCGGTGAAGCGCTCATGACAGAACACATTACCACTCCGTTTCTGCAGCAAACTGCCGGCTCGCAGGTCCAGCAGTTTGAAGCCTTTCGTATCCATCGAATATCCAAATAGTAGTGCCAGCTCGGCTCGTGGCTCGAGCTTATCACGCGTGGTTGTCCTTTCTGTTGGTACGTGGGCGTGTACCAGACATCCCCAGGCTCGTAGGTAAAGCAGCGCAGACTTCCTTTTATATAGCGCCTCGTATGGCGACATGCCGTCCAGCGCAGCTGTCGGCAACTTTTTTACCGTGTCAACAACGTGGAGGAGTGCCTCTCCCCACAGCAACTTAGGTGCGTAGCATGTAGCACAGCACGTAGTCGTGGTAGTACGAGCCCATTTTCTCGTTCAACGACACTGTTTTCCTCAGGAGACTACGCGCTTGTGTACTGTGTCTCAATTCCTTCCTTTTCGCAAAGCGTCTGAAGATCCTGGCTCTGGAACTCACCTCCTTGGTCGGAGTGAAGTGTCACCACCTTGTTTCCAGCGCGCAAGAGCTGTGTATTCTGACGTAGGATGAGCTTCTTTATCTTGTCAGCGGCCCCGTTCTTTCTCTTGGGTAGGTAGCATCATTTGAAACGCGTTGCGTCATCAATCACTAGCATAAACTTCGTTTCGCCAGTACAGCCAATCTCACCGACTTGAAAAAAACGCAAAAATATAAATTACCAGAGGTAAAAAGGGGTGTCACACACAAGCCTAGTCGGCTGCTTGCAGAAGAAGAGCAGCAACAACATGGCCGACAGCGCGGTCCAAGGTGGTGAAGTAAGAGTTTCCTCAGCTGAAAAAGCCGCCGTGAAAACGAGTTTTCTCAGCTAAAAGAGAAGACGCACAAGCGGTAACGAGGTCTGTGAGGTACTGCCGTACGTGAGCTGCAAGTGCGCAGCACTATGCTCTCGGTGACCGTGATCTTTTTCCGTATTTGGAGCAGAAGGCGAGCTGCGCTCCACATCACTCCTGCGTCCTGCCTGCTTGTGCCCAAGGCCTGATATCCGACGCGCCGTCGTCAAACCGTACTGCGTACGAGAAGAAGCAGGTGCGCTGCACCGTGCTCTCGCCTGGGTGCAACCAAGGCATGGGGTTCGACGCGCCGTCATCACTGCAGACTCTTGTGTGTCCCATGCCTGTAACGTGGTCAGCGAAGCCCGGATGGGACACCGCGTGGACGGTCGCCAGTAATGTCGCCAAGCTCAGCCTGAGTAAGACACCGAGTCTTGCTGCCGGTTAAGCCTGGACAAGACGCCACGCCATCTCATACTGCAGCAGAGCTACAGTGAAAGCATCGGATGCTACCGTTGCTGTGTGAGTTGGTTCTGCAACGGACGCTGCCGTTGCCGAGACGATGCCGCTGCTCGTCCGTTAGCATAGCTGTAATAGCAGTTAGGTAACGACCTAATATTACTCGCATAAGTTGAGAGGAGCGGCAAGGCACTCGAAAGGAGCGCGCTGGGCCTGACAGCTCACTCTCAAACTTACCTCGGGCTCGCCACGCCATCCTCAAGTCCCTGTAAGTCTGTGCCTTGCACACCGGTGTCCAATTGTATTTCCCTTGGTGCAGTGAGCAGTATTGTAACAGGGTCGAGGCGTCATGCATTCCTCTGCTGACAATTCCACTGATAACGCCTCGTCTCAGGCTATGAGCCCCAACCCTACTGAGCCACATGCAGTGACGGAGGCCAGTTCTACTGACCATTTAGCAAAACCTCAAGTTGAACTTGAGCGCCAGCCAACGCAAGATCACGGATTGGCTAATTTGACCGCGTCTCAATCTCAACTTGCAGCCGCTGTGCTGAGAGCGAACAGCAGTCCTGGTACGCCATTGGCTACCTCGTTACCTGTCCAACGTTCGACAGCCAGCGACCCAGTTCAGACCTCAGAAATACTTCGGCTGCCTGGAGCACCAACCTATTGGGGACGGCAACAGACAGCTTTTGTGCCACCACGCGCACAGAATTACGGCCAAGCCTCAGCCGCGTATACGACTCATACACCTGCGAGTGACGTCAACCTTTCCAGCGAGCAGGGCGATCAGGCGTCAGCGATGCCCAAGATTTAGTCAGTTACGAAGTTCGACGTTGGGAATAAGCTCTCCGAGCCGTTAGAGTATCCTGCGTGAAGATGCGTGTCATGGCCGGGCTAGCCATGTCACGACTGGAGCAACTCGTGCAAGGTAACGAGCGTTACGACGATAGAATGTCTCGTGCTCAAAAGAATTGCTACGACGTGCGTGGGCGTAAGGCTAATGATTGCTAGTGGCTTTGATTTCTGATGAAGTACTTTTTCGCTTCGAGGACATTGTGCTCAAGGCGGACCCCGTGCTGCTTTGGGGCCGTATCTACTGTGACTTTGGCCGTGGTCCTGGAGTGAACACAGACATAGTGTTAGCCGACCTGTTCGCACGCAAGCTACAGTCTGGCGAAACAGTGGAGCAGTATATTAATGATCTCCAACGGATGCAGCGCATCCTTGCTAAAAAAACGACCCTATTCCAGATCATCGCGTCGGGCGGTTGATGTTGGCCAACGCTATCAGAGTATATCCGAAGACTACGGATGACGTCACGCGTCGTGGAATTCAAGCCACAGACTTCACTATCTATGATTCGCGTGCAGAGTTGGTGAATGCAGAGATGACTGTGCATGTCCGCGAGCAGCATCAGAATTCGCCACGTGGAGATCGCGGCCTATCCAGCGAAAGGCTACAGCAAGCCAATTTCGTCCAGCGTGGCGGAAGAAGCAAGAGCAAGAAGCCATATCAGCGAGGTGGCAGGTACGGTGGAAACTGTAGCTGATCTGTCTCAAGTGTGTCGTCTACCGCGAGTACTAAGGCTGAGTCCATAGTTAAGAGAAAGAAACATTTTCCGGTGCTCTGCCTGCGGTGAGAAAGGGCATTGGAGAGATGATGGACTTTGCAAGAACACTTCTCAACAAGCCGATGACAACAGTGAACAAGAAGAAGCACGCATGCAATAATTTGCTGGCGGAGTATTTGTACGTCCTGAGACGAGTGTCCCTCCTGCGGCGGGGTACACGCTCGATGAAATACGTGAGGTGCTGGGTGAGCGAGCTGTTGGGCAGCTACAAGAAGAGTTGCGGACAAAGCTCCCGGCTCCAGAAAGCGCACGTCGTGTTGAGGACCAATCGACGTGTATCCAGCATTGTTCGCCGACACCATCTCCAACCGGTTCACGTGGGGGTTTGGTGGCAATGGTTCTAAATAATCGAGAGGAAGATAGGCGTCACGACGTGGCAACAGATGAGATGGAGTGGCATCTTGACAGCGGCTCACAAGTGAGCCTGTTTGGTGATCTGTCATGTTTTTCCTACATTCAACACGGTAACTCTGGGGAGCTGCGCATGGCCCTATAACAGACGGAGACGCTGAACGCCAGTAAGAGCGTCGTGTTACGTGTGATGAACGAAGTGACGGGCTAGTGGGAGCCTCGCCGCCTTGACGAAGTTCACCACTCTCCTAACGCTCATGTCAGCCTGATAAGTCTCGGATACATGCAAACGTGCGGATTTGCAGTGTCGTTCAGCGACGACCAGCGTGCCGTCTTGCTGACAAAGAGCTCATTGAAGTTGCGCTTCGATCGTTATGATGAGTTGTATTGACTTCGTACGAAGCGATAGTAACGTCTCGTTACTGCTGTGAAGGCTCATAAGAACGCTTTGGGTCTTCTGCACAGCCGTCTATGTTAGCATGCAGATGATTCATGAAATGGCAGCGAAGAAGGTCGATTTCGGCGTAAACGTAAATCTCAAGTCACTTTCAGCTTACGACTGTGTACCTTGCTTGTCAGCTAAATTCAAACGCATGTCTTACAAGCGTAACCCTGAACGACGACGTAATCTTCTAGAGAAGCTCTCAGTGGATTTATGCTCAATCAACCAAGAGACGGTTACTGGCGAAACGAAGGTTGGGCCGTGTTCGACTGGCAGATAATTACTTCAGAGAGAAATGGCGTTTTGACGGAAATGGAGGTCGCGAACACGATTGTTTTATAATAAAGCTCTGAAAAGCGAGAATGAGGTTGAATTATTGTGAGTTCTACTTGATATTTTCATGCGAGATTGGTTTGTCCAACCTACGTATTTGGCGTAATATTGCTAATTGGAATTTACAAAAACTGACGACTCTTTTCATTTATGTGATATCCAAGGTTTTTCCCGTCGGATTTTCTGATATTTCACCGCACAAAGGTACCCACATTCTCGAGCGGACGCCTCGTCCGGCATCTTCCTGCTCTCCGGCCATGGCACACGACGGGTCCTCAGATGACGAGTCTGCCTTCCTAGATGCACAAGACACTAGTGAACACGACAACATCGCTCTCCATTCCAAAGACCCCCTAGAAGGCGAGTTATCACCCAGTTCGTCCTCAATATCCCCTCTCAAACACAGCTCTCCAGCTGTCATCGGCCGTCCCAAGGCTGCATCTGCCGCTGCAGTACCCATATCACTCTCAACCAATAGAACCGACTTAAGCAGCTCGAATGAGGCCACCCTCGGCTTCGTGGACGCTCATAGACGCACACAATCGACCGGGAACTTGCGACTGGAAAACTCGACTATAATGGTCCCTATCGCCGTCAATACTGCAGCTACTGTGGCCTACCAGGCCAGTCCGGCACACTCCGAGTCTGCTCTAATGGCTAAAGGTATGGCGCCACCTCCTCCGCCCATTTCGGTGCGACCAGCAGCTGACACAAAACCCAACGGATTTTTGGCCAAGGGCGGGAATTTACTAGCCGGAATAACCGATTTTGCAGGGTTAAAGTCGCCTAGAGGCACAATGCAGAAGGTGCACGTTGTGTACCCCTCCCCAGGTCCACTGTACGTAGATTTATACTCGAGAGACGACGGGACTGGAGCTCTCGTGAAAGGATTTCGCCGAAAACCTGACGGCTCAAAGGCCGACGCTGAAGCTTCTGGACGCGTGTATCCTGGTGACGAGCTGGTGTTCATTAACGCAGTGGATGTGACCAAGATGGTGTTCGCAGAGATCATCACCACGGCCAAAGAGGCGACGTTCCCATTAACTTTAACGTTCCATTGTTTCTTTAAGAATAAACAGGAACACGATAAATTGACACAAGAGAAGCCCATAGAACCGGAAAGAAAGTACGCGAGTGGCCCATTACCGCCAATGTCGCCGTCCAGCAGTAACTGGGGCGCGAGACTGAGCCAGATGACGAGGTCCGGGTCGTTTGAGCACAAGACGAGCGGGTCCGATCTCACTAATGACGCGCCGCGATCACCGTCGCCCAGTTCAGAGTCAAATGGAGGGAAATTCGGCTTCTCGTTGGGCAAAGTGGGTACTGATAATGTGAAGAAGAACCTTTTTCGTATGATGGGTAACAAACCTTCGCGACCTGAAGAAGACAAGAGCGTGGTGAAAGGCTGGATGAATGATCTGGCTCTCAAGCCACACAACAGCTCAACGGGAGGACGGCATCGCAGAGCGCCTGTGAATACAAATACTGACGTGTTGCATTCGACGCCCATTGTCGCCGTGACGACAGGAGGAAGGTTTGTGGGTGTGCTGGAGGACGATGTGAACGAGTTCGCGCTCACGTGGTTTAGGAAAACGCCGCCGGAGATGGAGATTCGACAGATTAGGGGCGTCAAGCGGTGTCCATACTTCCCGTCCGTGGACGACGTGGGTGCCATTCTATCGCTTCAGTGCGAGTCGTTGCGCTTTCCTCAGTTGAAACGTGTAGTGGAAATGCCCAGTGCTTTAGTACTAGATCCAGCTGTGGGGAATACCGTTGACGTGTTGCTTGAAGCTGGAGCAGGATCGTTCTCTGCTACGTTGGCTAGTAATGAGCACGACAGCTTCCAGATCAAGATCTCTTCAGATGATGTGAGTCTAGTCAAGATATCAGAAGACGAGGACGAGGGAGGTGTGGTGGTGAAGACGGCGTACAGCACTTTTCTTCAGGTTTTACTGGATCCGGCTGACCAGCTACGGTTTACACTGAAGGTCCAGGAGTTCGGTGGCTTTCTGGGTAACCGCGAAGGTGACGTGTGTGACCTCAAGAAACGACAGGCGCAACTCCAAACCTTGTCGTGTTTCTTCTTAGTGGCGCAGAACAGACAGAACCGCGACATTATGACGCTGTTGATCCGTAAGTTTCGAGCACGCGTGGTCTCGTCGGAGCAGGAGGCACAAGCGCAAGCGGACGAGAGAAATCTGTTCATGGACCCAGCGTTTGTCGCTGCAGTGGCGCCTCCACCAGCATTAACTGCATCTCAATCCGTTGGCTCGAACTCAGGAGCCATGTCACCTGCTAATAATTCCGAGACAGCGAGCAATACAGGATCACCGGCAACCACTCCGTCCTCGGGCACGGTACCCTCTCCTGCGATGAAGAATCGTCTACGCTTACAAAGTGAGGGCTCCTTCACGTCCGTGTCAAGTGCGAGACTCAGCGATCTCGTGGGCTTGGAGCCTGATGATGCTGGAGATCCGACGTCTGATGTAACTCCAGTAGCAACGCCACCGCGTTCTGCCATGAAAAATGGCTTCGGTGAGAGCAGCACTAGTATCGCAGGTGACAATGGCTTCATTGAAGGTCGACTTGCAGCACAGGACCAGGAGATCGCGATGCTTCGAGAGAAACTCTCGTCCATGTCGGTTCTTTTGAAGACAGCGGAACAGGAGACTAAGCAGGTCACTGCGTCGCTGGAAGTCAAAGACAATCGCATCGAGCTGCAGCAAATGAAGCTTCGACAATTTGAAAAGTTTCCAGGACAATGTGACGCTCAAGCGCGAGAGATTCAAGCGTTACGTGCCAAGTTAGAGGACGAAGAGCGCAGACATGCACAGTGCAGAGAAGAGCTGCAACAAGTGCTCCATGTGGCAGCTAAGCGAGCAGCAGAGATGACAGATCAAGGAGTTCAAACGGAGACTCAGTTCCTGGATGGAGAGGGCCTTATAGACGCGACTGTGAGCTCTGCATCTGGCTGGGAACGTGATGCGTGGTCTGGTACTGTGGCTACAGTTAGTGCAGGCGACTTACAGCAACAGATCAAGGACCAGCAACTCGAAATCTCCCAGCTACAAGACGAACAGGTCAAGTTGATTACAGAGCGAAATATGTTCCGCGCTAAGTCCCTGGAGCTCTCAAGAGAACTTCGAAAGTTGGTAGGAGCCAACAACAACCGCCCACTGGACGACCTCGAGGCGCAACTGGCTGAACGTAGCTCTCTTCAAGCCGAGCTCGCGTCTGTCAAGGCGGATGCTAAGAGTGCAGCAGACGAGTTGGCTGAGCTGGAAAGTGTACTCGACGGTGTTGGGGACAAGGATAAAGGCACGAAGCGTCTCGCTGCTCAGAACGCAGAGCTACAACGCACTGTGCACCAGCTTCAGGATTCTCTAAGCGAGTCGAGAGATCAAGTGGACGCAGTTAAGAAAATTAACAGCGCGCTTGCCTCTCGTCTCCATCGTCTGCAACCGGAGACTCGTGGTAGTATCGTTGAAGAAGGGCCTACTTTTCTGTCAACAGGGTTCCCTGCGTTTACCTCTGATGATGAAGATGACGACGATGAAGAAGAAGACGACGAAGAATTGCAAGACGGACTTGCAGAATTCCGAAGGTCCTTAGTAGGTCAGTGAAGTATGTTGGACGTAAATTTATTAGAATAAGTAAAAAAATATATCGCTTCAACCGACAAAACTATTTATGTTTATTTTATTTGTTTGCGACTAATGAGAAAGGTTAGGAGCGTATTTCGTCGCCTTTGGGCTGCGTGGATGGCCATGCAAGTGGAATTCCATGGTCGCTACTCCGTGGAGAGACTGAGTCGGCTGTACAGCTACATGGAGACAGCGAGTCTTTATCGAGTGATGTCTGTGGCGTTCTTGTCGCCGCTCCCATGCCTTATACTGGCAATAATGGTCGAAGCTGTCCCGCTAGCAGCACCGGAAGATGGAGTTCAAGCCAATTGGGTCTTTCTGATTCGCTTTGGCTTTGTTACGGGCCTCATGGTAGGATCCATGGTTTATCAAATGGGTCAAAATGTACCTGCTCTCATTGTGAAGACCCGACATGTTTTCACGGTGGCTGTGCTCTCTGCGGGGGCAGCCGTTCTAACCCTTTTTGCAGTAGCGTCAGCGAGCGTTTTCCCAGTCCCATTCACCATGCTCTTGGCATCACCACCATCGATTATCGTGTATGGAATATGTTTCGCAATTTTCTGGGGTGCTCAATTCAAGGCAGACCCGTCGATTCAAAAGGAAATGGAGCAACAGACCACAGTGCTGAACTGCCAGATCTCCCTTACACTAATTTACCCCATGTATATCTTCGGATTCACGTCGCTTACAGGTGTTCATCAAACGATATTTGTCGTGGTACTGCCAATCATCAAGTTGATCGCCAAGAACTGGGTGAGCCGTGCACTTGTCGGTCACAACGATTTGAAACCAGAAGCTGTAATTTTCAACGTCGAAGTGTTCAATGCACTGTACATTGCGAATGCGCTTCAAGTGGCCTCAACCCAGGCTTCGACAGTCACGATCATGACAGTGGACCTGCTTCACTTCTGGATTTCAATGTACGACGTGATAGAACTCCTGAAACGAGTGAAAAGGCTCATGGACAAGATACCAAAAGGCCACCCTGCAGGTAAAGAGAACTTTGTGCAGATTGCAATGCGGCTAATTGCGCTCGAAACGCAGCAAATGTCGGAAACCAGAAACCAGATGTCGGATATATCGCATCCAACTTGGAGAAGTCAAATTGAAGCTTGGGTCAACTTAAGTACACCGACAACAACAAGCAACGAGATCTCTACGTATAAGCTGGAGCACGACGAAATGAACGACAAAGCTCCAAGCCAAACGCGGAAGCCATCTCTGGGAACTCGCGTTTGTCCTGTAGCTTCGAGCCAAACAACGCGTCCACCTCCGAAATCGACGTCAGATTCAGATTTTTCTATTGAACTTGACAAAGTTTTTTCACACAACGAACGAGCTCTGTTCATTCGGGAAAGTGCTCGAGCTCTCTTCGTTACGGAATATATTGTGCTTGTGGAGTACGTCGAGGTGGTGCTACCGCTTGTGTACTGTGAGTGCAAGTATTTGAGCAGAAACGCTGCAGTTTGAATGTGGTTCTAATGTTTTTTTTTATACTGACAGGTGCGCATCACGTGATTGTGTATAATTTGCATAACCGCGCCTACTACCCTGCATTGGCGAGCATTTCTAGTTCTGAGTTGGCGACGACCATCTCCCACGTGCTCGTCTACAGCTCACTGGAATTTGCCTCACTGATCGTGGCGGTGATTTTTCTGAAACGAAGCCTTGGATTTTTACCCACGCGTCAACTCTCGTTCGTGTTAGAGAATCAAGTGGGAATCATTCAGGCCAAGTTGCTTATTCTTCTCATCTACGTCATGGAGATTTCATTGACTCACATCGGTATGTGCACTCTTGAGTTGTTTTTGCTATTGTAAAACATATTTTAAGGGGTTTAATTAACGACGATCGTAGGTGCCGATTTCAGCTTCAAGTTTGCGTGGCTACATGATCCTCAGCCGGGCAACTGAGTTCATGTTACACTTTAAAGTACAGCAATCTGGAAGTTCGTGTAACATTTCATGTAGAGCCTATGACAACTTTCTTTAAGACCCGTCTTGTCCTTTTTATCGTATCGAATCTACAAAATCCTATCGCACTTTTCACTGTGTCAATTCTACAGTATCTGGCATGTGCTTTTGTAAGCTGACATGTGAGATACCATCGATTTTGAAAAAGCTGTACTTCGAAGTCTTAAAATACTTCGTACCTATTCTATTGCAAAATTTTCCTACAATCACTTTAAAAATTGGGCAGACAGGATCATAAGAATCACCTCGCACTGCCAACCCTGATAGTTTAGTGTACTGACTGGTGCTTCACTTCGTTAGTGCAAGAAGTATCATAACGAATAGTATCAACAAAATGAACTTAAGGTTGTCAAAGACTTCTGGGTTCTCATTTACCAGCAACGCCGAAGACAATCACGTTTCTTACTCCATGTACAAAGAACACTTTTCAATTTGATTTTAAAGCCTTAGAACCTCCATTCGTCTAAAACAATGCAGTACCAAGCAGCTATATTTTCGGAGTTTTCGCTTCTGCGATCGTCACCTCGATCGACGCTGGATCGGTTGCGTTCAATAGCTACTTTGAGGGTCAAAACTGCACCGGAACGCCGCACTTCATCTACGAAGAATCGAGCGAAAGCTGCAAAGTCGAAGATTGCACCATCACGACAATCGGAGATGCGGTCTATTCGAGCAAGGTGGAATGCTACGACAATTCCCGAGAGGTGACCACCTCCATTTATGCTGAAGCGAACGCGCCCTACGTGTTGCTTGAGCAGTATTCCCCTCCAAGTGGATGTGACAATTGGGTAAATGCACTCGCATTTTATGCAGAGGGGGTCATTGCCGTGTTCTACCCGACATCACGCCTTACGGCGCTGCTATTGCCGTTGTCAACGCGAATTCGTCGCTGGAGCTGCAACTATTTCACGAACCAGAATGCACCGAGCCGATAAGTGACATGTCTGTCTCGAACGTCGACGTCGAGTACACGTGTTTTGTCGGGTACTCGACATCGCACGGTCTCGTGTACTACACAACAGCGTCAAACTCGGAATCGGAGGGGCTGTGACGACTCCAACTCGCTCTGATGTCTATGTCTATGGTACACTACATCTATCAAGCAAGTTGCAGGATTGGGTTTCACTTGATGATTTCCGATCAAGACAATGAATACAGCGGTGAACAAGAGCGTTTTTATTAAACTTCAGTGGCTCACGAATACAACAACTATCGGGATTCACGAATCAAAAAGTAAAAGAAGCACATATGATTTCTAAGCCTGCTTACTACATAAAGTAGTGTTTTTGTCATTTTAAGTATCAACATTTATACCAACGCCATGCCAAGAGCCGCCAGGATACAACTTAACTTGGGGTTGTTTTGATCTGAATTTGATGATGTTCTTGGGTACAGTATATTCTCGCATTTGCATCAAAAGGATTAACTGTAAACTAACAAAGGGCTGATAAGCAAGTTCTCTGCTAGTGCTCCAGATGCTCAAAATTAAGGTTTTTGACTACATACCTTAACCATAGTTTGTTGCGAAGATAGCTAGCTTGTAAAAAAGGCGAAAAATTGCAATTCGTTCACCAATGATCAAACAGTCTCAGCACGCTGTTGGACAGCATGGATGTCTGTTCAAGTCGAATTCCAAGGCCGGTTTCTGTTGACCGCCTCCACAACCTGTACGTGTACTCGAAAAACTTGACAGCTCTACGACTTCTAGCTGTACAAGTGTTGACGCCATTGCCCTCAGCTTATTGAAACAAGTCCTACCTCTCAGCTCTCCAGAATCAGGCGTGCTCAACAACGACGTTTTTTTTCGTCCGATCATGGTTGGTGCTGGCTTTTATAAAAGGAAACGCGCTGGTTCAAATGGGTCGAAGCGCACCTCAGCTTAAGCTGACTTCTCGACAAGTGATCTGCTCCGCATTATTCGCGTCGACACTTTTCGTGGCCTTCATTGTGATGTTATGTGCGCTGACTGTCTTCCCGTTACCGCTCGGCTTGCTCGTTGTGGCACCGATCGACGTCATCTTGATTACTGCGTGTTTTGTCTACATTTCAGGTCCTCGATGGAGAGCTGACCCGACGTTATGGGAAGACGTCAAGCGACAATTATCTGTCTTTAACTGCCAAGTAGTACTCACTTTTGTCTATCGGATCTACATTTACGGCTGACTGGCATTCATAAAGTGATGTTCATCTTCATATTACCGATTATTCAGCTGATTGCAAAAAACTGGTTAGTCGTCAACACACGAACGACGATCTCAAGCCTAAAAATGTTATCTTCATTGTCGAAGTTTTAAACGCTCTTTACGTGTTGAATGCACTCCGCAAGTCGTCCTCGTGGAAGACGACTGCCACAAACACGGCCATAGATTTCTTACACTTCTGGGTGTTCAAATTTGATATTGTCGCTGCTCGGAATGAAGTGAAGGTCCTTAAGGCTACGATTCCTCGTAGCCATCCGATGGCACGAGCAAGTTTTAAAGTTTTTGCAGATAGCCTGGAAATCGAGTCAGCGTTGAACGCACTTAGGGCCGTTCCGAACCGGGGGCGCGCCCCGAGGATAAGCCTGTGATTGGCTGACCTGAAGTGCAACTTTTGTGATTACTGCATCAATGCGATCCGAGGCACAGATCGCGCGCCGGCCGGGATCGCGGGATCGCAGAGGCGCGGCAAACGCACAGATGATCGCTACAAGCAGGATGGAAGGCGAGACATCGTCCCGTGTACGTCGCCGGTATCTAATAGCACTACTTGTTACCACTGCTGCCATTTACCCAGCAGAACCGAGAGGGTGTATAAAGCGCCGACGCTTAAACTGGAATGTCCACAAGCAGACATTACTGCTGGAAGGTCAATTTAAGCGTTGTTACAGAATGAGTGTGGACTCCTTTGAGCGTCTGTTGATGCTAATTCGGCCGTCTATATCGCGCGATGAGCTCCAGTCTTCTCGGCGTACTGCTACAGATCCAATCTCGCCGGAGAACATGCTGCAAATGACGATTGCTTGGCTAGCCGGTAGCAGCTATCACACAATTCGCTGCTTAGGTGGCACGTCTGTTTCCGGCACATATGATGTATTTCACGATGTCATGAACGCAGTTTGTGACTGCCCAGAGCTTCGCATTCAATCTCCCGTGTCGTCCGAGCAGCGTGTCCATCATCTAGCTGACAGCTTTGCCAAGATTAGCACGGACGGGACCTTGAGTGGATGTGTTGGCTGTATCGATGGGTGGCTTCGCAAATAAGGGCCCCGAGTGCGAGCGAGGTGCCAGATGCTGCAGCATTCTTCTCAGGGCATTATCAAATGTATGGCTTGAATGTACAGGCCCTTTGTGACGCCCACTGCCGTTTTACCGGGTATTGTTTTAATTCTCCTGGAAAGGTTGGAGACTCAATTGCGTTCAAGAAGTGGAGCCTAAGAAATGATATACTTAAGTTACCTCCTGGATTTTACATCGTCGGCGACAATGCCTATCCACTATCAAACTCCTTGTTGGTGCCGTTCACGAAGCTGGAGCTCAAAGGCAAAGCGTACTCTGACTTCAACTTCTTTCTAAGTCAACTGCGCATTCGCATTGAAATGTCTTTTGGGCTGTTAGTGAACAAATAGCAAATATTTTCGCGACCACTTGTAGTTGATTTCACGAACGTTGGCAAAGTAATTAAAACGTGTATTAAGCTTCATAACTTCTGCATCAACGAGCAACTCAAGAGCGACGACACGACAGCAAACCTACGCACGGTATCGACGGAGTATCACAACCTCACCGAGAGCTCTTACCAGCCTACCGACAACTTCAATGACGCGGACGGTTTACGTAGTGACGCACAAGGCCGAATCCTCCGACAAGTTCTCGTGAGTCACATTCAAAATTTCAATCTTCGACGTCCTCGTGTGCACTAGCGGCTACCGAAAGAGCAGACTGCTGCTGCTAAAGGCGATTCAAAACATCCAACTCCAGCTGATCAATCTGCTCTTCTAGTATCAGCTTCCTCTCGGTGCGCACGGCTAGAGCTTTTCCAAGTTCGTCTGCATTAATTCCTTGTTGAACGTACTGTTCACGTAGCTGCTTTAATTCGTGAATAGCTGCAACGTTGCGCTCCAGGATAGCCGTCAGTGTCACCAGCTTTTGAGCAGCTCGTTTCTCTTGAAGTAAAAGTTTTTGCTCCACCCATGTGTCTTTTTTGCGTTTTACTGGACTCGCTCTCTAGCAATTCATTCACGGTCTCTATAAGCGCGGCCACCATGTCTGGTTGAAATCTTTTGCGCTTCTTTCTATTTTCTTTCTTGGACTTGTGTCCGTCGCTTTCTCTGGTTGAATCATCTTCGTCGTCGGAGTACACGTTGGCGGCACAGAACTCCCGTCCAGACTGACGATGCTCGCACCACCGATCCAAGTAGTAGACATCAGCACGCCCATTGCAAAACTCCCAGAAGTCGTGGCTGTTTTGTCCAGAGGTTTTGGACCCGGCCTCAGCACGTGCAAAATTGCTGCTCACCTCCTTCCACATCCTTTGTAACTTAGCAGCCGAATGTGAAGTCACACATGAAGCATCCACGTCTTCGAACACTCCGTCGTCGGAGATCAATGCATCGTACTCGCCGTTGTCGGTACTGAAGGCGTTGGCAACGTCGATCCAGAAGGTCGAGCCGCCCTGGTCCAGCTCATCCCTGCGGAGTTGATGGCCGGTCTCCAAGAATGAGGTGAAGAAGTTGTCGGAGAACACGATGTTTAGGAGGCGGAACATGCAGCCTTTCGTCCTCTTTGCCTCCTCTTCGCGTTGACCTTTTGATCGTTTGCGCTGTTGACGAACCAGCACCGCGACACCGTCTTTGTTTGTATCCCATGCCTTAAGAAGTTTCACACGGTCTCCCTTGCATGTATTTTTCACGACGTTCAGTTTGCGGGCCGTGCACTCCATCTTGATCTGCTCGAGAGTCCAGTCGTTATAGTTGTCTGACGTTGGCGCGATGGTAAGTCGCTTGCGCGCTGTCTGCGGCTCCGCCACAGTCCATTTCAAGCTTGGTGCGTCCGTCATTTTGTAGTTCTGTGCGGCAACTTCTGCCATCAAGATGTACCAGATTGGTGGTACAAAATCGTCTGGAGCGCGATCTGGCTTGGAACGGCAGGATCGCGACCCGTTCTAGCCGTGAAGCATTTACCCTACCCCCTCGGGGCGCGCCCCCGGTTCGGAACGGCCCTTAGCACAGTTAGCACTAAGGATGCGTCTTGTATATCGCGAATGAAGAGGTAGGCTATACGAGGAATAAAATTTAGACATCCTCTTCTCGAGATACAAGCATTGCCTCAACACAAATGAACAATGGGTCCAGATTCAAGTCGAGTATAGCGCGAATATCCCCTCTTCGCTTTTTTCACCCACAAAAGTGGCTACAAACTAGAATTCGACCAACGCCTGTACATTTAAATTCGCTTGGACGCTCGAACTCACCACAAGTTGAAGTAAATGTGGCACTTGCCACTTTACCTCTTTACACAGATAAAACGGCTGATCAACGATTTATTCGGGTGTATTGTAATGACTGTACCG